TGCTGTTCCGCTGCACTCCCCCAGTGCTTTGCCTCGGTGTGGCAGGATCAGATTGGGTGCAATTCCCACACTGTGTCCCTGGTGCTCTGCTCCCACAGGGCCATGGATCAGTGAGGGGCATCATGTCTCATTGTGGGACTGGCAATGTGGTCCCCTCTGTGGACTGGCTGCTCTAATTGGGGTCATCATCCTCAAGGCCTGGTGGGCCAGAACATCCTTACTTTTTAACACTTTGAAAAAATGTAAGGGATTTGCCCAAGGCAATGTGTTGTTTGATCTCCTGACTGCTGCATCCATGTACACTGATTGTGGATCCTAGGAATACAACATCCTTGACAACTTCAATTTTACTCTACATTTATCAGGGTGTCTACTGGTCCAATTGTGAGGATTTTGATCTTCTGCACATTGAGATGTGATTCATACTGAAGGCTGCAATCCTTGTTCTTCATCATCAGCAAGTGTTTCAAGTCCTCCTCACTTTCAGCAAGCAAGGCTGTGTCATCTGCATATCACAAGCTGTTAATAAGCCTTCCTCCAATCCTGATGTCTCACTCTTCTTCATATAATCCAGCTTCTCTGAGGATTTGTTCAGTGTGGATTGAGTAAGTATGGTGAAAGGATCAAGCTGTGATGCATCTCTTTCTTTATTTTAAACCACGACATATGCCCTTTTTATTGGTACCATTGCCCCTTGATCCATTTAGTTTCCCCATGACCACAATGTAGTGTTCTGGGATTCCTCTCAAAGCTATCCATAGTTTGTTATGATCCACACAGTTGAATGCCTTAGCATAGTCAATAAAACACAAGTCAACATCTTTCTGGTATTCTCTGTTTTCACCCCAGATCCATCTGCATCAGCAATGAGATTCCTCATGCCAAGTTCTCTTCCAAATCCACCTGAACCTCAGGCAGTTTCAGTCAGTGTACTGCTATAACTGTTGTTGGACGATCATCAGCAAAAGTTTACTGACATGCGATATCAATGGTATTGTTCTATAGTTTGAGCATTCTGTTGACCACCTTTCTTTGGAATTGGTACAACTGTGGATCTCATAGACCAGTGAGTGTTTCC